ATGAGCTCGAATTGCTCCAATTCAATTTTCTCGATAACAGGATACGCTTTCAAAGACATAAGTAGGATGTAGGAAATGCCCTGCATTTTCTGTATCCTGTCAAGAATGGCTGTAAAAGCACTCTGGGATGAATGTTTAATGTACCCTTCATTTCCTTTCCCGTGTTTATCTTGGGCTGTAATGGCAGTTAATTTTAATGGACTCTTTCAAACGCGGCTGATTGAAAGCATGTAATTTTAATGCTTTGGATCGCGTCAGTGTCGATAAGACTCGGTATAAGGAAACTTGAAACGATTGTATTAGATACATTTTACTATCACTGGAGAAGATCCAATTTTTCAGACGAAATCGATCTTTGTTTCCAAATTTCTAATTTTTGGCTATACTACATTTGATCGTCGGATATACCGGAAGGTAAAATATCACAAAGTTGAAGGAAGGGCCTTTTTGTATAGTAATTTTGCCAGCTTTTGTATTGAAATTTATCAAAAAGGTTAAAATTTAAAAAAGCGCCCGATACACAATATTGTATTCGAAACTAATTACTCGATTAGTGCTGTATTTAAACTTATAGGTTCTTCTCCCGATTTTCAAGTATAATCCAGGAATGCCATTTTCAATTGATCTGGATTAGACATTTCACGTGGAGCTTTACTTCCTTGAAATGCAAGATTTTTTGAGTCTACAACTTAGCAGCCATTAGCTTCAAATTACTCAGTTAATTGACCTGCACGAAAGAGTCGCGTTCATTGGCCGAGACTTTATTTCTACAAATATTAAAAAAAAATAATGCGTCGCGAGACAGACAGTCTAAAATGTCAGTATATTATTCGAAACTCCTTCATTTTCTTCTGGTTGTGAATTTGGTACTTTTTCTTCCCTGATGTGACGGGTTTCGAATGAATAGTCGGCAGGACCTGCGGGGGTCCCTTGGGCAACACCAGGATCGTCGGGGGATCAGAAGCTAAATTTGGCGAATTCGGCTTCATGGTGCTCATCCGAAATTTGGGAGCCAAGTACGAAGTCTGGTGTGGTGGAGCACTTGTTGACAATCAACACGTTCTGACAGCTGCTCATTGCATCAAAGGGTAAAAAATATTCACTCCACATCAAATTTTGTTTTACCCCAATTTATTTGAGCTCCGCACATTTTTTCCAAAATTGAGAGCAAATAAGGGTGCGCGGGTGTCACATAAATTTTTTTAAACTTTTTCCAAGTTTAGGTGCGCGTCACACTTCATTCCAATGAAAAAATTGGACTCATTTTTGCAAAAAGTAAAAAAAAAATGGAAAAATTGAAGATCAATTCAATTCAGATTATATTCAAGTACAAATTTCATAATCTGAGATAGTTTATTTTCAGATAGAAGAATTTTTGAGTGTTACTTTACTGAAAATGGGGTGCTGGTTTTCCTTAATTTGGGGATAGGTTTAATTCACATTTTATGCTGAACAATCTAGGTTTGGGTCTAACTTACATGAGGACGTGCGATATATTACTCAAGTAAATAATGTATATCACTAATAATCATTTATTCGTCTTGGGAATAAATAACAGACACCCGTACAAAACCTTTGAAGTATGGGTGAGGACGCATAACCAAAAGAACCCGACTTCGACGTCCGGAAAAATGTACCGCATAGAGCAAGCCGAGTTCATGAGTAACTTCACCAAGAGGACTTACGAAAACGACTTGGCAATGTTGACGTTGGACACGCCTGTCGAATTTGGGCCCAAAGTTTGGCCCATTTGTCTGCCGGGGGTCCATAACCGGGGTTCTTCGGGTCCTCCTGATGCCCCCGGCACTGTGGCTTCTGTGCTTGGCTGGGGCTACGACAGCGAAAGTGGGTTGAATATTTATTTTTATTGATGTTTGATTAAAGAATCAGCTTTCAAATCTTGTAAGCTATAATAAAAACGTTGAGATTGATAATCACATACGCTTTTCAAAATTCGAATGTCACTGAATTTGCGTTCTCGAACGCAACGGAATACTATATTCTAACGATTATAAAAGATACGTATTTTTTATGCTTTACAATTGAAAAAAAAATCCATCCCGCCAAAAAGTTGACAATTTAATACTGTACATGCAATCTTAAATATCAGAAAACTGTGTTAAATAAACGCATGATGTATTTACTAACTTAATCTCCTCAAATATATCCAAGATAAATTAGGAATTTAAGTTCGTGTGCCTTCGTAAATAAAATGGTATTGAATATTCGTATTATTACACTTTAAAGCTTGAGCCATTTTATGAGAAACACTGTTTCTCGACTACAACTTAGACAGCATGCACTTTAACAGAAATACAAAATTCGTCAATTTAATTGAATGGGAAAAATGCCGTTTAATGTTGGAATCACCCAGTTTTAAATAATTTAATGATTTTTCACCCAGTTTTGCAGGTGGGGCTTTTTATATTTGAAGAACAATGGATAACTATATACTGTATGTCAGTATGACTTAGTGATGCCAGAGCTAAATTCCTCATAATTGGATGAGGGAAATCTAGACCAAACTCTTTCAATTTTTGCAGACATCTGAAAAATTAACTTTCTGAACAAATAATCCAAAAATTTAAGTCTAGATATGAATAATCCTGGCTTAACCTACCGTATTTATATCAAAGGAAACGTTAAATATTAATCTACCCGATTTTTCTGGCTTTGAAAGTAAATAGATTAAATAAAATCTGCGCTTTAACCCTGCGGCAAATTAAAATTACCCGGACAAAAGCGGGGAAATTATGCAAGTACTTCTTGAAAACACTCCCGCCCCTGCATATGCATGAAAAATTCCTGGCATATTGAGATGAAAAAGCCGTGCAGTGATGAAAATGCCTCAATTTGCACAGATGGAGAAAATTCTGAAGTGCTGCAAAAGGCAGATGTGACAGTTCTGAGTCAAACGGAGTGCAAAGACTGGTTCACTTCAGCTGGATTGACTAAGGCAGCCAGCGTCATCAGTGACTACCACTTGTGTGCTGGGGTGAAAACCGGTGGAAAAGACTCTTGCCAGGTTTTTCTTGTTCTTTTCTCACTCAATTTTCTTCGTGAATTCCGAAAAAAAAAGAGTTAACATATTTCCAGAATCAGTCAATCGAATGACGGAAAGATCTAACCCATATTAATTAAGCAATTAAATCCTTCATCGCGAACAGTGATTCATTTTCTAAATCCTCAAGAGGCGTTGCCTTTTTTTATGTTGCGATGCTCTTTGCAAAATTTAAAATTTTCTTGAAATATCTGCTTTGAGAAAAACAGAATCTTTCGTAGGCTCAAATTAATTCACGTGAAATTCAAGCTGTCGTAAAAAAAATATTTCAGCAGTTAAAGTGTTCATCGCATCTAGCAAGTTTTTTTGTCGGGATATCAATGAAACAAATCCGAGTTCCCGTTCAAGATCAGCATTGAAGTACTCTTAAAATAATTCACATAAAACTGTGAATATACAATGTCTGGATTCACGAGTCTCAAATTAGTTCAAGTAAAATTAAAGTTAAATCATTGAAAAAAAAAATCGTTGCAGTTTCAGTGTTCGTCGTTTCATTCCAACGAGTTTTTTTTTTCGAATATCAAAGAAATAAGTCGGAGTTCATGCTCGGGATCAGCATTCAAGAATATCTTTAAATAATGTCCATAAAATCGTATTTATAGAAATGGCAACTTTTCGTTCGATGAATTATAGAACCAGCACGAGCTTCAAATTAGTTCAAGTCAAATCAAAGTTACATCATTGAAAACAAAAATCCTAGCAGGTTTGTTTGTTTCCAAAGAATTTTCGCGAATATCATAAAGAAATGAATCTGAGTTCCCGCTCAGGATCAAGATTCAAGAAACTCTTTAAATAATGTGCAAAAAAACCTCGTGTCTAGCAATCGCAAAATTTCGGTCGATGAATTATAGTAGTAACTTATTGTGTCAACAACAACAAAAAAGAATCGCTGCCACATGTATACATGGAATATAGGTTCACTGATACTCACGGACCTTTTTGGGAGAAAAACTCCTCTTCTTTGTGAAGTGGTTGTCACAATCAAGGGCACAATAACTCATGAGTGCCTATTTATCATTGCAGGGTGACAGCGGAGGACCGTTGGTGAGGAAAATAGATGGCTCTTGGACTCTCATCGGGATTGTGTCCGCTGGTATCGGTTGTGGACAGCCCAACCAGCCGGGATTGTATGCCAGGGTCTCGCAATTCCGCCATTGGATCCAGGCACGCGTGAATCAGCCTTAACATCGGCATTATTTGCGCGCGGAAATGAGAACTTGACTGGGAATGACGCGCATTTCATGATGGAAACCAATTACAGTACATTCCTTTCCAATCTCTCTTTCTGCGTCCCTGATGTCCTCCATTTCCAGTTACCGTACTCGCGTACCATACGCGCACATTTTTTCTTCCTTTCGAAATTGAGAGAAACAAACTTGAAAAAAAAAAAACTGGCCATGATAGGCGGGTATAACACTTTTCAGAACTAAATGTCAGCTTTAGTGCACCACATACTTGATTCCAAAAGCTCATTTTCAACCAATTTCTACAGACAATTTAAGAATATAAATAAATTTTGTGAAATGGAGAGAATTATTCTATCAGAAATGGTCTTGAAGAATTAGAGACGTTATCTTGGATTTATATTGTGGCTTGTAGCCGAAAATATTAAGTATAGGCCGCACCAGCCTTAATCTTGGAACTTTTATGTGAAATGTGCGGCCTAAGTGTATAATGTCAATGGGTTAAGAATAAGATTAATCAAATAATTGAGAACACATCAACGTACTTCGGGTTTCCTCTCTATGTATTGCATATCAGGGGAACTCAATAAAGCAAAGAAAAACTGGTCAAATTTTTAAAAACTCCAGATCTTAGAAAGCTCCATGAAAATGATGAAGGAATCGCAAATCAAGGTCGACTTCGCGGTTAACCTGAGAAATGCGCAGGATTTTCGTTCCTCTCATCACGTGTGTTCTTCAGAAACGTTGCACGCAGAATGTTTGTGACGCTCTGGCGCGAAGACCCCGGGTTTCAGGGTCAGACTCGGAATGGGTCTCGTCAGTTCCATGGTTTCAGAGCATTGTGGTCGACCTACGTTCAAGAGGGGTTCGCAGAAGTACGTATTCTGTGCTGTGCTTTTCTGATGCATTTATGCCTGGAGCTTTGTATTTTTTTTCTGGGTGACGAACTGATGAAGCAAGCAGAATGAAATATTGTGAAAATTCATAAAATCACGATTGCAAATTTTTGGTCTTTTTGAATACACCTCGAATAGTTCTGTACACAGTTAAATTGAAAAGAAATAAGATACATTCAAAGTACAGTAGTTTACCGTAACTTTTTTTTCTTCATTAAGCTATGATTTTCATGTAAGTTCCTGATGATGGTTAAAGTATTTTAATGGGAGGGGAATAAGGAATAACAAATATTTCCAGATTTGCTTTTGCATTTTTCAGAAAAACCATTTAAATTGCGACGGCATATAAAACAGTGCATCTATAAAATTTTAAATTCATTTGTGTTTTTGAGCAAAATGGATTGCTATACCTTTCCGTGAACAATCATATGCGTAATTACGCTACAATCATCAAATTTCTTCGCTTGCTGATGGTAATCTTCAAGCAATCAAATAACGTTAGAAAAATTTCCCTGAATTTAGTTCCGTCAGCTCGTTTTGTAAAAACAAAACAATCAAAGGTTGCCTTTAATTACTTCCATCTCTAAATCAGACTACACTAGTCCACAGTTATTTATTTATTTATTTCCTCATAACTCTGCATATGTGACTTTTTATATGGTTTCCAAAAATGAAAAAAAAATTGTGAACAAATTCGTTATTCTTTCTCCTCTATACAGTAATTATAATTTTGCGACCATAATGAGCGTCATGGCCCTACAGGATACCTTGTATTAGCCTTGAGCTTAAAAATGTACACGGATTAATAAAGTATCGTTTTTAATAGTAATCCTGTTTCCTGTTGAATAGCTATGAAAAGAAACCGAATATCACAAATATCCCATTTGAAATTCGGAACAATTATTTAACAAGGCTGGGACAATTTATTTGCTCTAGCCTGCCTTTTAAAAGCACCACCTTTTGTATAATTTTCGTGAAATTCATTTTTAATGGTTTCGATTTCAAAGAGGGTTCTTTAAGCATTGGGGTTCTAATGAATTTGTATCGACGCAGGTTCAGGATCAAAACGATATTGAATGCAACTTACAAATTTCCCCAACTTCCTTTTTTTTCTTTCGAAATGTCGACGCGGTCTCACGCAGTGAAGCAAAAAGTAATAAAAAATGAGAAGCTACATTGAAAATGGAAATATTGTATTTTTCAATCTCATCTTATCCATCAATATTATTTGGCAAAGACAACGCGTCTCCAAAATAATCAAGTGAGCCTTTCTAAAGGTGATACCTAAAATAATTTCTAGATTATTCAAGACCTTCCCGGAAATGCCACGATGAAACAGAAGTTGAGTCTGAAGCGTGTGACTGACTGAACATCCCGAATCCGAAAATAACTTCCTTTCTGATGAGCATATGGAGCCAAAGATTAAGAGCGTCATTTGCCAGATGTGCTCCTTTTTATTCTATTCCTATATTCTAGGATCCGAAGCAAGGTTGCATCCTCATAGAATCTGCGTTTCATTCGAGAATCCAAAAAAATTTAACATCAGACGGAAGAACAAAAAAATAGTTTTTCTAGAAGCAAACACTTGAAGGCATTGGCCAGGAATATCCAAGCGAGTAGTTGGCAAATATAAATCGCCTCAACCCCTCCATGATATTTGCACACCAGATGAAACCCTTGTTCCAGAACCGTGCATTTTTCCCATTCGGGTGTATTTCATCGCAATAAGCTAAGCAAATAACGCGTTGGAGTCGTAAATAAGCCAGTGTAACACGACAAAATTCCACTTGGAAGTATAGAGCTTTCATTTAAATTGATGGGGGGTGTTTTTCTGAGACTTGAAAGCTCAGAAGGAAAATTCTGTCATGTTATTCTGCAAATAAAAAATTTTGCTTCGAATTTCCTGCTTCAATTTGCATATTTTTTTGGAATACGTTCCGAAATCATGATAAAAAATTGAATTTATAAGGTCAATTAAGAGTAGAAACGGACATGAATTCAGTTACAAATACACGGATACCGTTTACTACATCCACAAAATCGATTATAATTATCTTTATTGCGTCAATGAAAAATATGTTCACACTTTCAAATAATTGTAATGAGTTATTTTTACACTGCTGTAATTGTGAAAAATTGGAATACAGTAGAGTATTTTTGGCGTAAAATCATGCAAATTCAGCATCTACTATAAACCATCGATTTGTAATGAACCATGGGCTCACGATGAAGGGTCTAATGACTCTAATCGAACCTGCTTTTTTTAATGAATCGGTATATCGATCGAAACATTGTTCATTTAACGGTGAATATGCCACAAATTAGGTACCATAGTTTTTAATTTTTTGTTTCGCAGAATTATTTCTGAAATATAAGAGAAATGCTGAATCTTTCGCGCTGGTTTAATTGAAGTCAGTCAGTCGTCATCACGCGAAGGTCTTGACGAGAAGGAGGGATCAAGAGATCGTTGGACACTTTCCTCTTCGCCAAAAATTTGGTGACATGGACTCCGTAGATGCAATCAGCACGAATTACAGCTTCGTCTTTGATCCTATGGCCAATATTTCGACAGCCGTGACCCGGGATTTGCGTGCAGAACAAATCGTACCTCCATGGATCGAAGAGATGCACAGACACGGGAAACGAAATGCTGTGATTTACGTCGCCGTGGTGCTTTCAGTTTATTTCGCAGGGATTCTTTTCTTGCTTTTCAAACACTGGCGACAGGGCCACTGGACTGGCCACAGTGCCAACTACATGGACAGATTGAGGAGAGAACGCCAGTCGTCGAGACACCGGCGCCGCGCCGCCGAATCCAGCAGCCGCCTCCACCAGGTCAGTTAATTACCCGCGTACTTATTCGAGTACATCGCACAATTTTTTTTCTGCGAAATCAAGGCATGAAATAGGGTTCTTTGCCGTATGCGGGTATGCATTTTCTGGAGCAGAAAATTCGGAAATTGGTGGTGCGAGCCATAAGTGATGATTACACTTCGAATACTTACTGTACGGTACTTATTTGATGTCGAAAATTGTCTTCGTGTCGTGGAACAGGTTCAATCGGGAGCGATATTGAGTTTCGCTCCTCAAGAATCGCAGAACATCGCATTGCAGTTGCTTCCCACGAACCCAGGTTTCGTTTGCCAAAATAGCAGTGTTTTCCAGAGCGAACGCGTCTCGGAAGCAGCAGCAGTGATCTTCCGCCAAGGTGACCAGCAACACATAGTTGCGTACGGGCCAATAACACATTACCAGGAAGGCGACGAGGATGTTCGAGCGACATCTATTTCTTTGGAGCCGATTCGGCCGGAAATTTTGACGCCTCTCGTAGAAGAAGAGGTCGAAACAAGCTCCGCAAGCAGGTGTCAGCCTACCAGTGTTCGCGTAACGGCGTCGTTGGACAACGACGACGTTTCTTGAACTTGGTTATACTCCTTGTCCAAGCCGACAACAACGTTTGCTCAACGAAAAACTAGTTCACTGCTACGCATTTTTACACCTCCTAAATCAAGTTCAGTCTATTTCCACGTTAAGTTGCACTCCGATGCATTACTGTACTCATTTGTGTCATGTGCTGGGGTGTACTGTATGTGAGACCAAATGCGTCTCTTCAATGTGTGAGAGGACTGAAAGCCTGAGAGGTGAAAGATTGCGAAGTTTCCTGCTTGTTCGAAGAAATACAAAGAGCCTGCAGATGCCGTTTACGAAGACGTTCAAATCTTTAATAGCGCTTATCGGTTGAGGGGAATTTTCTGGACATTTTGTATGAGGACAAAAAAATGAATTGCTTTTCACCACACCTTTCGTCGGAGTTCATTTGCTATGTGTATTTGAACCACTGCTGGATGAGCATACTGTTTGGTACCGATTGCAAGTATACCCCACACGATCTGAGCGGCATCCGAAGAAATGTACCAAACTGCAAAAAAAATTGCTCAAAAATGACTCGACGTCTGAAAATCGTTTCTGACTACAAATTCCGAATCTTTTACCTGAATGTAAAATAAAATGGAGTCACTTTTGGGAATGAGGTTTAAGTTCAATGCATGCTACATGCAGGTATTCGGCTTTAAATTTGGCCTATGAGGAAGTTTATACAGATCTGTGTGCACTTCATCTAAATCAAATTATCAACCAAATTATTTTTAATGTATGTACTGTTTTTGTATTCATAACGTGTTATAAAAATCTAATGAAAAAGTTGTTCTATAATTTTCCCCAGAAACAGCGGGGATACAACTATTTACCCTTCAGATTATTTAAATTCTTAAAATGCACTGATTTTTGATTTTTCAAAATTTCAACACCCCAAGAATATTTTGAACATTGGGCTGGGGAAATTTCCAAGAGCTCTTCAAAGTTTAATTTCCATCACGAGAAATTATTGAAACGAACGCGCAAGACTCATATTCTGAAAAAAATAATAATGAACAGGAACGCGTGAGCAAGACCTTTTTTTTTCATTCGTTGCTCAGATTCAATTGTCTTTTGAAATGCAAAGCTGCAAGAAAGCACCAAATTGATCAAACTTGACCTCAGCCAATACCACCCCTGTATGTCTCCCAGATGAAAAACCCCTGCTGCCAGAAGTTTGTTCAATACCCCGGGATTCCGGCACTGTTGTGGCACACACCCGTTTTCCGCTTGCCACAAAAGACCGGCCACAGAAGGTTCTTCTACTCTGTATCCCTTAAACCTGGTGTTCTAGGAATCCTGGAAAAGGGATTCCACTGCTGTAACATTCATGAGTGAGTCTTCCTTTTATATAAGCTCAGTCGTTACTGTGTCTGCATCGTCATTCCGCACGCATCTTCTGGACAAGACACACTCGGTTTTTTTTCATTCAAACCATGGGTTCGTTTAATAACAATTTTATTTTTGCATGTTGCATATGCTAAACCAGCATGCGTTTGTGTAATTATATTCAAGTTCGTGGCAGTGTGTTAAATACCGTGGAATTAATATTATATGTGCTTCAACAAGCTAGGATTTTGATTAGCCGTGTAAGAATTATGATCCAGTAAGAGAAAAAAGCTGTTTTTAGATCAGATCATTATTGCCTCGTGAAAGGTAATTTAGGTTGCTGTATTTTCTTAAAAAATAAAAATATTAGGTACTTTGGTTAGACCGCTTAATTTTTCTTTCTGCATACATCTTGTTTAATCAACACGTACCTTTTTGTGGTTATTTTGGTATTCGGTGATTTGGATTGCTTAATTTCCCGTCAACGAGTCTTGAAAAATTAAATCAGCCCAAATTACTTCAAAAGACGATCTGTTGACAGGTTGCTTTATTTCTTCCCAATAAATCAGAGAAACAGGTCATTCATGACATCATAATTGTATGTCATACTGTGGGTTCATTATCTCCTTTGCGAAATATTTATTCAGCCTAGTAAGCTTCAAGATTTGTTAAAATTTTAATACAGTGCAATTAATGTTAGGAAATTCTTGAATATTTTGTCTTGTTCGATAAAAATTTCAAAAAAAGTGGATGTTCCTTATTCTAGAGTAGCTCGGAAAACATTAATTTAAAGCTAATTTCAGCTGCATTTTATTCTGAAGTACTGTATGTTACTTTTCCAAAAGCCACCAAACGTCGTGCGAATTCTTATTCAGGCAATAAAAAGCATTCAGAGTTATCATTTTAGATCAAAAATTTATCAGTACTTTAGTAAACGCAAAAATCTGATTCATTTTATGAATTCATCTGTGCCGAAAACCGGATGAAAATTATGTAGTTGCTAGGAAGAAAATATGCGATTGAAAACTTCGCAACAATTTTGCTTTTATTGCTTGGACGATGTGCTGACTGCTTTAAATACATGCTGTGCGTGCTTTTCAGCTGTGCCTGATTTCGCTTTCATGAATGCGATGCGAAAAATTTCGGTGGAATGCTTCGATTAACAAGTTTCTTCGTGGTGCTTGTGATGGACATTTTTTGTGGTGAAATTTAGTGCTAATGGGCGACATTCCTCCGGACAATCGTCCGGATTTCATCGCTGAATACACGCAAAAATCGCTGCGTTTGAAGCCTGAACGATGGGCCAAATTTCTGCAGTCGGAGGAGAACAAGAAGATTTTGCAGGTGAACTTATTCATCTAATAATTGATTCTGGGAAACCGAGATGATGTACTTTTCTCCATTAGTAATTTCCGGCTTGAAAATAAATTCCGCTAGATTATAGATGATTTCACGCTTATTTGATTTTCTCTGCTGCAAAAACAGGATTTTTTGGACAAACCGGAGCCGGTACAAATCGTCATCTTGCAAAATGCAGCTGGACAGTTGTCGGTTTCAACTTCCTTTCCGGCAGGGGGTTCGAAATCAAAATCCATATTTTTCATGAAACGAAACCCTGGTCCTGTTTCCAAGGATAAGGATATTAAAACATGTCTAGTCTTCGGGGATTTATCCCCGAACCCCTTGGACCAGTTGACCTGTATGATAGAGCATGTGAGTAGAAAAATGCGTATTTTACATAACTGAAAATCTATAACAATAAAAAATACTGTACGTGAATCATTAATGGATCAACCAATCCAGGTGGATAACCACCGAAAAAAATTTCAACATATTGACTGAGTTTTATGATTTCATGGGCATTGATTATAAAATTATCAGCAATTAGCACTAAAATTTGAAAGAGAGATGGTCTTGTAAGAATTGAAGTGGTTTGGGAAGAAAATATATTTTCAATTACTGTATTTTCAAACTGACAGCAGTTGATATCGTGGCATTCAAAGAAATAATTAATCACGACAGCTGATTGAAAAGTACGCCCTGAGGGTAAAGAACCTTATTTTTTACTTCACTTCATTCTCCTTCGAAAAATATTTCGATAGAAACATAGGATGTATAAATTAGCATGCTTTGTATGCTTCTAAAAAAAGCTCCAAATACTCTGAAAATTCTCATACATTATTTCAGGTGATTATTCCACTACTGTCAGTGAAGGAAAATCACGAAGGATGGCCCAGGGTAGTTAGTGAAGATATCAAGAGTCAAGTTTTGGATCTGAAGGGCACAGTTCATAGAGTTTTGGGTCAATTGGATGGCAAAACTTTGCTTCCATTGCCTATTGATGCTGCAAAAATCTCGGCTGCCGAGGCATTGGCAAGATCTGAGTAGGAAAAAACATTCAATTTAAAAGTTTTAAAAAATTGTCGACATTTTTCTTATTCATTTCCATTTTGTTTCGAAGTCCAAGCAAGGTAGACTACGAGTTGAAAGCCAACATGGAAAAGCTGGTCACCAAATGGTCCTCTCAAATCCAAGAAGTGTTGGTCAGAGACTCTGGCACAGAACTGGAGTCAGGAAATCACCCAACACCGATGAGTGGTATCGTTTTTGGATCTGAAATTTATGCATTTATTTATTATAATTTTATGCCCTTGGTTTCAACCCTGTGCACAGTAATCTTTTACCCGTGCAGCCACAGCAATAAGAGGCAGCAACTGCGATATATTGCTTGACCAGTAATTGAATTCAAATCTTTCTCGTGTCCAATGCTTATATAGAACAGTGAAATCCCCCTGTGTTGTCCGGAGTAAAATAGACAGACTGAAAAGGTTTCATTTCTGTGGATATTCAAGTCACGAACAGATCCTGTAAAAAAATCTCGGCGATCTTTTCTTACAAAGCAAAGTGCAAATTTTCGTCAACAATCAATAACAAATAGAGATTCCGGTAGCAAACATTTCAAATTTATTGAGGGTGTCTGATATTGGCAAATAGTTGAAAAAGCAAAAAAGCATACCCTAAAATGTTGCTCAGAATATAATTCTTCATTCGCGCAAAATTCTAAACTTTCGTGCGATATTCTTTCTCGATGAATTGGAAAAATTTATCAATTCTTTTGTTCGAAGAATCGAGGCATTCAACAAATAGAAATCTTTTCACGAGTCATTCCTTCAAATTATGATCATATATAAAATCACGCAAGAAATTATTGGAAGATTTAATTATGAATCATTTTCTCTTCACCATCTGTTTCAGAGAATTTTTGTGGGTAAAAAAAAATGAGGAAGACAGAAAATTAGTCGGACAATCTCGTGAGAACTGCGGGAATTATTTTCAAAAATTAGTAAAAATTTCTGCTGTGTGTGGAAATCAGCCACCCTTGTTTCTGCGTGCCGTACTTCGCTTACGGATTGCTGAGTAATTCTGTATATCCAGGCAAATCCATTAATTTTATGAATACATTTTTTCCGATAATAGTTTCTGCTTATATTTTCCGGCTGCGTGTTGCTCCAGTGCGAATCGTTGAGGATAACCGTGGAAACCAAGTTGTCGAAACAATCATGTACAGACTCCCAGGTTGTATACGTTGTTTAGTCGCAAAAAAAAGCGATCTTTGATCGAGTTGAATGCAGAAAGATGAGCCTGCCGCTATATTGAAGCTGATGAGCAAACGCTGCTTGCCGCTTGTAATCACTGTGCGAATTTAGAAAAGAAAATGAAAATTAGCTCAAGTAACAGTGCATAAATTCGTTCGCATCCTTAGCCGAGATTTAGTCGCAGAAAAGGGGTGTTTCGGAATTTTAGAGTCTAAAAATTAAATAAATTCACTCGTACGCACTCTGTGGGTTCATGGTTACCAACCTGGAATATCGAAAAATTTTAAATGGGACCGCTTAATCGTGTGTTTTTTTTTCTCCATCCCAGAAAACTTGAAGTCCCAAACACCTCTTGATATACAGTACATCTACTACAGTATTTATTATTTAGTTTAATCATATAGATCAGAAAGAGCTGGCTGAATAAGTAGATAA